GCTATTCCCCAGTGCTTGTCCGCCTGCTGAATCTGGTCAGCCTATCTAGAGAGCCTTGTTTTAGGAAGATCAGCTCTTCCTCATCTAGCAGCAGTCAGTTGTCAATATTCCCTTAGATAAGATTGGGGTGTGCTGTTCATTTTCCCAGTTCTATGCTGGGTTACTGTCTGGGAGTCTCTTGCACCACCTTGGCCAATAACTCAAAGGAAGGTCTCTCCTGTCTTGCATTGTTTCTTGTTATGTAGCCTTTAGCTATACATATGGACTCTTAAAAATTATATTGACCTCATTAAGCTTAGGTTATGCTTTCCTTCTGGGCATTTAAGACCCTACATTTAGCCCAGATAAACTAATTTATTTTTACTCTTAAGGTCATTTGAGGATCTGTTCCTCAGGGGTCACATGGGCTTGGGAGGAGCTCCTGGCTTGCTTTTACCAGTTCCGTGTATGTGAAGATAAGTCAAAGGTCCTGCTCTACCGTGGCTGGCTTCGCTTGAAAGCATAGAGGAAATGTTCCCTCTGTGTTGACCCTTCTCTTTGTAGATTGGACACTGGTTCAGGTCCATCTGGTGGGATCTCCTCGGCCTCCTTGATCAAGAGGACAGGTGACTCACCACAGTTACAGGACATTTTGAGAGATGCTCATAGTCCCCTGGAACTTAGTCGACCTAGGAGGGAAAGGAGCAAAAACTGTTCTTAAAGCATTTTCTTTAACTCAAGGTATTCAAAATACTATCAATTCAGCACAGATTTGGTGCTCATAAATTAAGAATGACATGTTTTAATGGTTTTTCCCATGCCACGTTTAAAATCAGCATGCATTTTACACTCATAGCACTCAACTAGAGACAAGTTATTGATCAAAAGTACTTGATTTGTGTTTAAATTTCATAAAATGTAATTGAAAAAGTAGACTCATATACCTGACAAGTTCCAAACTTACTTATTTCCTACGGAGGGTCAAATATTAGCTTATAAAATTGTATTTAAATTACTTATAGTTTAATACAGTTGAAAGTTCAGTTCTGGGTTGGAGAGATGGCTCACCAGTTAAGAGCACTGGCTGCTCTTGCAAGGATCTGGATTCGGTTCCCAGCACCCACATGGTGGCTAACAACCATCTGTAACTCCAGTTCCAGATGATCTGACTCCCTTTTCTGACCTCCGTGGGCATTGCATGACACAGGTGCACTTACATACATGCAGGCAATACACTCATAAATATAAAATAAAAATAAAGAAAGAAAAATTGAAAAGAAAATTCAGTTCTTAGTTGTACTGGTCACGTTTTATGGTTTTCTGGCGAGGGTTATGTTGCCACCAGTGACTGCCGTACTGCACAGTACAGTTGTAGATTGCTCTTAAAGCCACATGTTTCCATAGTGTTGCTGAGTGCCCTCTCAGAAACGATATCACTAGATTAGCTTCCTTCACCATGGGAAAATAACAAGTATTTTTGCTTCATCTCCAAGGCCAGGAGATGTCTTGCTCATAACAGGTTTGATGAATACTTTCCCACCTAATTCCTGTTCTCTCCTCACACTACATCTTGAACTTCACTTTCCCTGGGGGGCATTTCCTGACCCTCCTGTCTGGTACTCATTATTTGCTACATTATCTCCCACAGGTTCTTTCCCCCTAAGAACAGACATGCTTACTAACTTGAGTCATTTTGTAATTAGTGCCTGCAGGGTTTGAATGAAAATGTCCCCCATAGGCTCCACGTATTTGGACACTTGGGGGGAGATGTGGCCATGCTGGGGAAACATGTCACTGGAGACAGGCTTGAAGATGTGAGTGCTCAGCTTTCTGCTCTGGCCACCTCCTTGCTGCCATGCCCCCCCCCCAACCCCCGCCATTATGGACTCTCTTCCTTCTATGGAGACTCTTCCTTCTATAAGTGGCTCTAGACATGGAGTTTTATCACAACAGAAAAATAAGTGATGCAGTACCCCTTTCCATACCATGCTCTATGCTTTATGAGAGAAGGAAATGTTTTTGTTAATAGAAGCATCCCCAGATGCAGGCTTAAGACCTGGTATGGTTCAAGTATAATAGATGCAGTGTATAATAGATAATAATGTGGTAATAACTTAGAAAATAGAGTATGTAATTGATATTAGCATAGGTAATAACACAGAACAAACATGGAATATGTAACAGATAACACATAGCTAACAGTACAGAGCCATTTACAACATGAAGTGACGAGAAAAGTGTTCTGTTCTTAATTAAACTAAAGTTGGGATGTTGTTCAGGTCAGGGAAACAGGAATATTTTATTTTAGGGATTAAATGCAGGTTCTTTGCTCTTATATAAACCTTTTCAAAACACCCATGTGAGTAGATCTTATCAGGGTCTTCTGTCTGCTTCATCGGTGTTCATTTTCTAGAACTATCTATCACCTCATCTTTGTGTGTGATATAAGATGCACTCTGAAGACAAAGAAAAAAGGAATTGTGGAATGCTGTATGGGGCTGAGACAGGCATAGGGTGAAGACAAATGGGTGCAGAAGAGGCATCTCCTGGTATTTCAGGACAGTAAAATAAACCCACCCCTTCAATTACAGCAGACTAATGAGCCTGCTCCACAGCATGTTGGAATATAATTAGAAATGTATTGTGGGCCAGCAGACCAGGTGTCAGGTCATTATCTGAATCATAAAGTTGGAAGTTATGCCCATTAAAGGTTACTAGTTTGGAAAGGTTAGATTAGAACTTAAGAGTCTTAGAAAACATGAAGTTTTCCAATTTGAATGAAGCTTTAGAAAACCTCAGTTAATTAGTTTTTTCTTGTAACTTTTCATTGAAGTGTAACACGAACACATAAATGGGCACATGAGGGCACAGCTCATGAGGGCACAGCCTGATGGATTTTCACATCTGGTCAAGAAGCACCTCATTACTGTGACCAGCATCCCCAGGTCCACTGTCTTGCTGCCTCTCTTCTTCCAGCTGTCCTCACACCACTATCCTGACACAGAAGTTTTTCCTGGTTTTTTACTTTATATAAATTGAATCATAAGGTACTGTGTTTAACCTAATGTAACAGGTTATCATTCTAAGTGACGTTTCTGACAACAGATGCTCTGAAAACAAGGCCTGCATTTAGATTTCCTTAAGATGGATCAAAGTTGGCAAATGGCAGTTTCCTGTTGTTTGATACTTTTTTCCCTTCTTAGTAATTGTGGGGGAGGAGGTTAGGGATCAAAGCAGATTCTCATGTTTGCATGGCAAGCACTTTACTGACTGAACCATCTCCCCAGTCCCTATTTAGGAAATTTCTATGAAAATACATGTTTGTGTGAATGCATGCCTGTGTATCGGCACACGTGTAAACTTTAACTTTTTTATTTAGATTAGGGGCTGGGGAAATGAATCAGTGCCTAAAGCGCTTGCTGTGCAAGCACAGAGACCTAGAACCCTGGCACCCATGTAAAATCCAGACATGGTTGTACACATCTGTAACCCCTGCACTGGCCATGGCTGGTGGGGAAGGAGAAAGGGATGGGTAGAGGCAAGCATAGACAGGCCAATCCTGGAGCTCACTGGCTAAACAGTCCAGCCAGTTACTGAGTTCTGGGTTCAGTGAGAGACCCTGTCTCAAAAGACAAGGTAGAGAGCAATAGTGGAAGGCACTCGATGTCAGCCTCTGCCCCCCCCACACACAGACAGAGACACACAGAGACACAGATACACACACAGACACAGATACACACACAGACACAGATACATACACACAGACACAGACACACAGATACAGATACACACACAGACACACAGATACAGATACACACACAGACACAGATACACACACACAGACACAGATACACAGACACAGATACACACACACAGACACAGACACACAGATACAGATACACACACAGACACACAGATACAGATACACACACACACACACACACACACAAAATGGTAATACAGAAAATATAAGTAAAATAAACAACTTTTATTCAAATTAGACTGCCACGCTGTACACTTTAGTCATTTTGCAGTGTTGCATCTTAAGGCTGTTTTCCTAGCAGCTGGGTTAGAGCCACTACATTTTTCCCTAATGGCAGCACATGCACTGTTGCATAGATGTATGTTAATGAGCCAGCTACCCAGTGAAGAGCAGCTAAGGTCATTACTGGGATGTCTGGTTATTGAACAGTAGGAGCCATATGAGATTACCTCAGATAAACTCCTTGGAGTCGACTTGCCGAGCAGTGGAGTTCACCCATTTTACATTTACTCAGATATTTGTAAATGGTTCTCCTAAAAGTGTAGTGATTTAAAACCCCACCAGGAAGATTGGAAAGTTCTTATTCCCGATGCCCTTGCTCTTGGTTTACGTGTTTTCAAGTGGTTAATTTCTGGGGTCTGTATAGCATGCATATCTGTCACTGTTCCTTCAGGTGGCCATTTATTTAATTTTGACTGAGGTTAGTTATTTATGTTTATTAGACATTTGTGTTTCTCCTAGGACTTGTCCTTGTCCTTTGCTCAGTTTTCTACAAGCTTGTTCATGTTTTTTCTTAATGATTTCAAAACACTTTTTCTACATAAAGCCTCTTCTAATAGCCCTTTTATGATATCTGTTGTGGTAATTTTTTTAAGAGATTAAAAAAGAATCTTTACCATTATAGCCATCCCCTCCCCAAATCGGGTTTTAATTTTCATGTGGCAAAATCCACTGGATTTTTTTCTTAGTAGCTTCTGAATTGTGTCTCTTTTTGGCAAGAAAAGCATTTGAAGCTTGAGGCAGGCAGGCAAACCTAACATAGGGAAAAGATCTTAATGTGGATAATGTGGTTAAGTGAGAATTTAATTAGAGTCAAAAGTAGTGTGAACGATTATAAAGAAACAAAAATTTCTATATCATCTACGAAAATATATCATTTTTAATATGTGTTTGGAAGGATTTGTAGGTTATGCTTTTTATGCTTTGTTGTTGTGGTTTCTATTTCTCAAATGATCTTTTTTTTTTTTTTTTTTCGTAGATTGCAAATTATAACCTATTTCCTGCACCATTGCTGGCACCCAGCGGTCCATGTCAGAAGTACTTCCAGGTCAGATGTGCTCTTACGTATTTCAATGCATAGAAGCTGCTAAATGTTAAAAATTGACAAAATATATGACGTATTTATTTTAATGTTAAACTCATGATCAGCCGGGTGTGGTGGCGCATGCCTTTAATCCCAGCACTTGGGAGGCAGAGGCAGGCAGATCTTTGTGAGTTCAAGGCTAGCCTGGTCTACATAGTGAGTTCCAGGACAGCTGGGGCTACAGGGAGACCCTGTCTCAAAAAAGACAAAAAAAAAGCATGTTTTGGTTTTCAGTGTTCTTTATTAATATAATAGAAAAACAAGTATTTAGAAAATGAAGTAAAAGAATTGTTTGACCATAAATGTATTTGTGCAATTATTGCAGACTACTGATATCATCATCTAAAAATATTTTAGTTGACTATGGCAGGAAATTAAAACTCAACTTTTGTCATCTGGCATAGTACGTTACAGTCTGTGGACTGCTGAACTGTGAGCAAAGGGTGGGGAGGGGTGTTGCTGTTGAGTCTGTGTAAACAGTATCTTGTATTGTGGAATTTGTCAAGAATAGTTTCCCAATTCAGTATTCTCCTTGGTTCTAGTGTTGATTAATTTCAGACCTTATGAAGCCTGTCTTAATTTTATTGTGTGTCCCTCTTTGTCTCATGATAGATGCCAGTCTGCACACAGTGTGGTATGGGATGTAATTCTTGGCCTCACAGTCATATAATAAGGAAAAGGCAACTGTAGTTAACACTTGAAATTAAACACTGTAGGACTGTAAGTGGCCAACAGAGTGGAGTCAGTTGTCTTTCTCTGAACACATTACCATTGAGCAAGTTCAGTAAGTATACTTAACCATGGGCAAATTATTAATGTTTTAAATTCTGAAGTTAACTTTATTATTAAATATGTTCAGGCCCCTTTCTCATTTTCTTTACAGGGAAAGCAGTAGTCTTACTTGAGTGGCATATGTTATTCCAAGGTTTTTTGTTTCCTTGAAAATTCAAATGACAACTCCTGAGGGGTAATGTAACCAGCACCTGGAATGAGGTGTACCTTCATCTCACTTTCCAACTCCAGGGAGCTTTTAAACTTTAGAGATCACACAGAACCTTTTACAAAGCAGATCTGGGCAGGAGAGATGGCTCAGTGGTTTAAGAGCACTGATTGCACCACTGAAAAGGACCCAGGTTCAGTTCCCAGCACCCACATGGCGGCTAGTAACTCTAGTTTCAGGGGATCCAATGCCGCCCTCTGGCCTCCCTGGGCATTACACATACAGGTGCACTTACATACATGCAGGCAAAACATTCACATACATAAAAAGAAAAAGAAAGTTTTTTTTAAATTAAAAGGAAACCTATTGGGATTATACTATTATCTATCTAGAAAACTCCTGTTTATCCTTCAAGATTTAGCTCAGAAGTCCCTTCTGAGCAGCTCTAAGCATCCAGCAAAGTTAAATGATTGCCCCATTTCAAAGACTCTGCTGTTTGTTTTTGCTGATTATTTCCCTTTTGGAATTGGTTTGAGAGCCAGCTGATCAGTTGCTCAAAAGCCTGTAATTCCTTTAGAGCTCACCTACTTTTTCTCAGTTTAAATTTTACAGTGTTCCTAAGCTTGAGCATTTACTGTGTTCCTCAGATTTGGCCATGAAACTTTAGAAGTCCATTAAAAATAAATCCATCTCTAGAAGACACTGAAGCTTTCCTAACGCAGGAACACAGTGTACAAATGAATCGAGAAACTGTCCTTAGAAGGCTTGCAACAGTATAAGTTCCTGAAGGGGATACTTTTTAAGGTCTTAATTCTCTTTGAGTTAAAAAAATCCTGCTTTATTATTATTATTATTATTCCTAAGTAATCAGTCATCCTACCTACCAGGTGTGATATTTTTCTTCTTAACTACTAATAGCCTCCCATCTGTCCCTCAGGACCCAATGTAGCTGTTCCTTTTATGAGAGCCTTTCCTGAATCCCAAGTACCATATTCTTAAGATTTTTTTTCCTACTTCAGACATTGTGAGAGTGTATAGAAACTCATTCTTTCTCACTATCTAAATCTGATTGAGCTTTAAAAAATATTTTTATTGTTTTTATTTTATGTGTTTGAATGTATTGCCTGCACATATGTAAGTGTACCTGTGTTGTGCAGAGTCTGTGGTGGTTAGAAGAGGGTATCAGATTCCTCTGGAACTGGAGTTATGTATGGTTGTTAGCTGCCAGATGGGTGCTGGGAATTGAACCCAGGGCCTCTGCAAGAACAGCCAGTGCTCTTAACCACTGAGCCTGGTCTCCAGCCCGATTGAGCTTTTTAAAAAATAAAGTTGCATATGTTCACTGTGTAGAACAAACTGTTTTGAAATGTATTTATGTTGTTGAGTGTCTAACCCCCCACTAATTAAGATCTGACTGAATTTCTTCAAGAAAAGCATCTGTTCCCTGTGTCTTGGATCTCCTCAGTTCCCTTGAAGGACTGAATAGAGCCAGTCCTCAGGCAGTTAGTTTGGATAAGGTGCAGGAAATCCTCAGGCTTAGGTGTGTTTCTCATGGACCCTGGGATTCAGCCTGTGAAGTTGCCTCCCTGGCTCTAGAAACTTCCGAGGTACTAATCTTGCTGTCTCTTCAACCCCGTGACCCAAGTTGCTTTCTCATAGCTTCAGCCTCTTGTTCACAGAGCTCTTATCATCTCTGTCACATTGACGGTTTGCTTTCATGGATAATTTCAGGAAACCAGTTTTATTTTGCCTCTCCTCCCTAAAAGGAAGAGGAAAAAAAATCTAAGTTTATTTCATTTCCTTTATACTTTGAGTTCCAGTTCAAAAGGCAGCATTCCTCTGGGATTAACTTCTCAGTGTGAATAAAACCATGTAGTGGAATAGTAGAAAAATGAAGAAAATGTGAAGTTTCTCCTCCACCTTGAAGCAAGCATGGGACTTCCTGGCCTGTCCATTTCTAGTTTTATAAACCACATGTTATAAAAAAACACAAGAACCACTGGTTACTGAAGAGAGAGGAGCTTGCTGTCATTACTGAAAAGCCATTTCCTCCACATTCTCCCTCCAAGAAAAAAAAAACAGTATTGAAAACCAATTTCCCTGTGGGATCCCGCCTAGGCCTCTGCCGGTAGCTCTCCTGAGGTAGAGGGCCTGCATGGCTACACCTGTGCTGGAGCCCTTGTTGTTTTGTGAGAGGAAAGCTGTGTTCGTCAAAGTGATCCTGGCTTACTCATTTTGTGTAGGCTTCATAGAAAAGTTACTTATATATTAGCTAAGCCTATTTAGTTCCAAAGTTTTCAAAAGCCTTATGCAAGAAAACTAGATCATTCAATGTGCTGGCCTGAGAAATCCAATCCAGGGTTGTCGCATTAAGGCCTGGCCTGCTATAGGAGTCCAAGCAGTGCCATCAAGACTGGTGTGCTTCTGTTTTGTGGCTCTGCCTTCTTATTTGTTAGATTGGTGCTTATGTAGGTTGACTCTCCTTCTGGTGAACCCTCAAAGCTTTAGGCTTAAAACTTTCTAGTTCAGAAGAGAGAAAGGAGGGTATCTATTCCTCTTCCTCCTCTAGTTTTTATTATTGTTGCTATTGTTATTTTTTGAGACAGGATCTCACTATAGATCCCAGGCTGGCCTCTAACTTTGAATCCCCCTGCCTTGGCCTCCCGAATGCTGGGATTACAGGTGTGTCCTACCACGCCTGGCTGCTGCCTTTCTTCTTGTCAGTGCATCAAGTGTCGTGACTAACGCTGTTTGGGTTACATGATTATCCTTAACCAGCCACTAGAACTGTGGAGATTTGCCATTCTGACTGGTTGTGCCTCCCAAAATAAGGGTTATGAGTATATCTGCTTGCAACACTTGTACCAAACCCCTGAATATAAGCCCCATGAGGGTAGATTTTGTTCATTGTTGTATCATCAGCAACTAGAAGCATGCCTGACACAGAGTACAAAAAACCAAAAATCTGTTAAATGAATGAACAGATGTCAAGGAAAACTTGTTCCCCAATAAAGACTATGGCACTATTAGCAGAAAAGGGAGGAATCCATGGTAGGAGATAATAGATGTTTCTCTCTCATGCACACAGGAAGGCAAGTGACAGAATTAATTCCCGTTTTGTCACACTCTGAAACCTGAGTTTACACATACTTCTAGAATAGGAATTGATCCTCTTGAATTGATGTTGGTTTTTTGTCTTAGCTACTTTCTCTTTGCTGTGACAAAATACCTACCAAAATCAACTCGAGGAAGGGAGAGTATATTTGGGCTCACAGTTTGAGGGTAACACAGCAGGGAAGTCATGGTGGCAGGAGTTTGAGGGAGTTGGTCACACTATCCACAGTCAGGAAACAGAGAGGTGAATGCTGATGTGCAATTTTCTTTCTTCTTTTTATTCAATCCCGGACACCAGCCTATGGAAATGGTGCCATCCATATTAGGGTGGGTTTGCCCACCTCAGTTAACCCAGTCTGCCAACTCCTTCAGAGTTCTACAGAGGTTTGTCTTCTAGGTGATTCTAGACCTTGTCAAGTTGACAGGAATATTACCTTATCATTGCCTTCATGAATCACACTTGAAATAGTGTGGTGACAGATTCATGGAGGGGTGCTGTCCATGTGAAACTTCCAGGGGAGGAAGATCTCTGTGTGACAGGCCAGTCCTCATGGTCACTAGCAGTTTGTAAATTCATTCCTCACCAGCTTTGCTTATTTTGCTCCCCGTTGTGTTCCTGGACTTGAAGAAAGAGCCTGGCTAATAGTCGGTGCTTATAAATATTTAATGAATGAATGAAGAAATGAATTCATGAGTATGCCAGACTTTATAGAAAGAACTAGAAAGTCTATTATTATTTTTAAAAAAGAAAAAGAAGGGAAAGCTGGCGGTGGTGGCATACTCCTACAGTCCTATCACTTGGGAAGTAGAGATAGGTAGATTAGGCATTCAAGATTATCCTTGACTACATAGCAAGCTTGAGGCAAGCCTGGGCTACATGAGAAGCTGTATGGAAAAAAAAGAGAAAAAA